AACTTTTTCATATTGAAGCCAATATGTTCTTGACAACATTTTAAAAATAAAATGTTATTAGTGGGATACGATTGTTCGCAATATGTTTCATAAAATGCATGAATTTATCAGTAATCTAATTTAATTTCACGTGCTTTGGAGGTCGTACCTACTGATTTTATTATGTCGTCAGAGGCACATAGTGAGTCCTGCAGCATCCTAGTATTATTTTATTAAATCAATCTATTTGTCCTGATTTTCCAAATACACATGGTAACCCCAGTCACGTATGCTACGAGCAAACATTGTTCGCGGTTATTAATATGGAGCCGTGACGAATCACCACACGTCCTCCCGTCGCCATGGCAACCGGGAGACAGTTATCCATCCCTCCTCCGGGTTCTTGTCAATTTGCCATAAAGTCGATTCCTCGTACTTTTGTAAGTTAAATTAAAAGTAAATTAGCGATTTTACCTTTTTTTGGATAAGACAGCTTTTCGTAAAAACTGTTTGACATAAAGCCTTATGAATGATACAAGTAGTATAATAATTATTATGTTCATTTGTAAATTCAAAATCGGCGTAATCTTCCTACATGTAAAACTACTGAATTTTTGCATTGAAAGCATCAATATGCTTTCTTTCAGCAAGACTCTATTTTATGCCTTAGTTTGATTTATTTTTTATTCTCGTCGTTATTTAAAAAATAAAAATCTAATCTTCAAAAACAGTTTGTCTTAAATGGCGTCCAATTCTATCAGACTCGGAAAGTATTAATAAAATTGATAACAGACGGCGATTTCTTCATAAGTACTCATTATAAAAGACATTAATTAATCACTTCTATTGGAAAGTTATTATTAATACGGGTTTTAACACGAGTCACTATCAGTGGGCGCTTATCACTGTGTGACGTCAGCAGTAGAACCAGTTTGGCAAAGTGTTGACTTATTTCGCCCGCTCACTCAGTGGGGATATAGCTCAGTGGTAGAGCATTCGACTGCAGATCGAGAGGTCCCCGGTTCAAACCCGGGTGTCCCCTGGAGTAAAATCCGCTTTTTGCATTTCTATACATTTTTTTAACAAGATTTTTTTTATTATCAAGTAAAGTAATTTTTCTTGGAAGATATAAATACTAGAGTCATCCGTGTCACAATAAACTACATTTTTGTTAAATAAAAACCTTTGTATAGATTTTGAGACACTCAATTTGTGCCATAGGCCATTGAAATGGGCCAACAGTATCTACTTATTTTTGGGTAAAGTACCTTACCTTATAACCTTGAATTTTCCAGGGACTGAAAAAAATCCTGAAAAACCTCCTTTGATTTCATTTTGGATAATGTTTGGGCAAGGTTACGCCCACAGTGGGGTTACGTGTGTTACCTGGTCAGTGAGGGCAGGGTCGGCTCCGTGGGCCAGGAGTAGTTCGACGATGTCGGTGGCGTCTGCCGCGCACGCCGCGTAAAGAGCTGACGACCCCACCTGATGCAGAATCATCATCATTATCATCACCATAAACGTCATCATCATCATGTCATTTAGTCCCACAGCAGAAGGATGACCCTTTCTTATTTAACGGGCTGTCAAACGCGACTCCGTAATATTTCTTTTGCCGGTTACTAGTGTGGCAAGATGCACGAAAACTATGTGACAGAAATATTTGGGCAAATTAAGGTCATGGGTAATTTTTAGGGGAAATTAACGAATACGAGCCAGCTCTTTGTACTTGTGAAATATTGTAGTTCGAGGAATTGAAACGTGCAGATGCAAAAAGCCTCTATCAATTTAAAAGAAACTGTGTTACTACGACACGACTTGATAGTGTCACCTAGTAACGAAGTTCTGGAACAAACTGACAACACACTGTGTATAATCAAACTTACAAAGATAAAGCTGCTCGATCACAAATAAATAGTTTTTATTTATAAAAACTTTAAAAATAAACTTACATTATTCTGTAAGTGCACATTAGCCCCGAATGTCAGCAAGTGCTCTACTATGCCGCGGCAGCCTTGTGCACATGCCATCTGCAGAGCTGTCACACCGTTCTGAAAACAAAATGTTCATTACAAAACTCCTCGTAGTTATTAGTGTGTGCATTTGTTTTAGTCTATTCATTTTTCATTTAAATTCAATATTCATCTGTTTTATACATTTTCATTTGTTCCATAACGTATGAAGGTCTTTCAATGGGAAGTGAAACGCGTCAAGGACATGTTCAAGATCGCACCTTGACTTTGAAGCGTCCCAGTAGNAGGCCGCTACCAACGTTGCGATGTGGAAGTCATTGGGGGAGGCCTATGTTCAGCAGTGGACGTCCTGTGGCCGAAATGATGATGATGATGTACTCGCTTATAATAATCTAGAGTTAACAGCCTGATTAAGAGGTCATGACATTCGCCATAACGCATTCGCGCGAGCAACCTTGTGGCCAAGCCGGCCCCACTTCCCACACATGCCCATATAAGTCTGCTATGACCATTACACACGTATTCGATACTGGTGCATAATAAACGTGTGATGTCACGCATGTAGGGTTGCTATGTTTTTGACTTTTGCTGGATATTTTATTTTCCAATTAACTAAGCGTATAATCCTTCGTGGTCTTATTTTAAGAGTTAAGTAGAGACTTTAGGTAGTTAAGTTTTGCAGCCTGTTTTAACGGCCGAACCCTATACATATTTTGACTAAGTAAGGTTCGAAGAAGACGAAGGAAGAAGAGTTTGTAAAGTTAGGGTTTGTAGAGTTAGCGCGTGTAGAGTTAGAAGCTGGGCTCTACATGAGATCTGATAATAATTTTTCACAATGTGAGCCATTATGATTTTGACATAAAAATATTTTTGGTGGTACGATTATTCCCAATATGCTTAGAAAAATGCATATAATGAACCTGATTTTCCTTAAACATATTCAATTTAATTTCCCGTGCTTTGGAAGTCAGTCCAATTTTATTATATTTTCAGACGCACCTGCATCATTATAATGAGTATGATTTTATTCAATGAATCTTTTTGTCCAGATTTTCCAAATACACATGGCAACCCTAGCGTATGCTACGAGCAAACATTGTTCACGGTTTATTAATATGGAGCCGTGACGAATCACCACACGTCCTCCCGTCGCCATGGCAACTGGGAGATAGCTATCCATCCCTCCTCCGGGTTCTTGTCAATTTGCCACCACGTCGATTCCTCGTACTTTTGTAAGTTAAATTAAAAGTAAATTAGCGATTTTTCCTTTTTAGGGTTCCGTAGCCAAAATGGCAAAAACGGAACCCTTATAGTTTCGTCATGTCCGTCTGTCCGTCTGTCCGTCTGTCCGTCTGTCCGTCTGTCCGTCTGTCCGTCTGTCCGTCTGTCACAGCCGATTTACTCGGAAACTATAAGTACTACAGTGATGAAATTTGATGGGAATATGTGTTGTATGAACCGCTACAAAATTATGACACTAAATAGTAAAAAAAAGAATTGGGGGTGGGGCCCCCCATACATGTAACTGAGGGATGAAAATTTTTTTTCTTTAGAAAGGGGCCCAATATTATATAAAATGGTTTAGGTTTCTTTTACACGACTTTCGAGACCTAATAATATTCTAACATTACAAGTAGGTGATTTAGTATATCTACGTGTCCCAAGACCATTGGTTAAAAAAGTTGTAGGTATCTTTAATTCAAAGGACCTTATTCCATTTGTAATTGAGAAATAATATTGCGTAATGTGGTCCCTGTTTACGGACAATTGTTTTGCTCTGAGAGGAATGAAAATTAGCGTTGATTATAGTTGCTTAAGAAAATTATCAGTATTGGCCCAAGGAAATGATTGATAGAGATAAGATGTCAGAGCTGACCGAGAGATTGAGGTATTTTATGATTAACTACTTTGTAATCATTTTGTGTAACAAAACGAATGTACGATAGAAACTTAACCAATCGTTAGTTGGTCCNCACCAGGTGTATAAATTGACATAATAAGTTTATTATATTTGCTGCTACGGAACCCTTTGTGCGCGAGCCCGACTCGCACTTGGCCGGTTTTTTTTAGATAGGACAGCATTTCGTAAAAAATCTGTTCCACATAAAGCCTTATGAATGATACAAGTAGTATAATAATAATTATGTTAATTTGTAAATTCAAAATCGGCGTAATCTTTCTACATGTAAAACTACTGAATTTTAGAGCTCTATTGAAAGCATCAATATGCTTTCTTTCAGCAACACTATTATATGCCTTAGTTTGATTTATTTTATATTCTCGTAATTATGCATACTTACTTACTTTTTGTTATTTAAAAAAATCTAGTCTTAAAAAACAGTTTGTCCTAAATAGCGTCCAATTCTATCAGACTGGGAAAGTATTAATAAAATTGATAACAGACGGCGATTTCTTCATAGGTACTCATTATAAAAGACATTAATCACTTCCATTGGAAAGTTATTAATACGGGTTTTAACACGAGTCACTATCAGTGGGCGCTTATCACCGCGTGACGTCAGCAGTAGAACCAGTTTGGCAAAGTGTTGACTTATTTCGCCCGCTCCGTCAGTGGGGATATAGCTCAGTGGTAGAGCATTCGACTGCAGATCGAGAGGTCCCCGGTTCAAACCCGGGTGTCCCCTGGAGTAAAATCCTGCTTTTTGTATTTCTAATTTTTAATAATTTTCTTTATTATCAAAGAAATAATGTTGATATACATATTTGGCCAATCTTTTGTAATAGACTGAGCAAAGTAACTTTTCTCATCGATGAATTGATAATAATATAAATACTGGAGTAATCCGTGTCATTTTAAACTATTTACATTTTTGTTAATTAAAAACCTTTATATTATTTTTAAGACAGTCATGGGTCATGGGCCATTAAAATGGACCAATACTTACTTACTCGTATTACTGGGTAAAGTACCTTACCTTATAACCTTGAATTTTCCAGAGACTGAAAAAAATCCTGGAAACCTCCTTTGATTTCATTTTGGATAATGTTTGGACAAGGTTACGCCCACAGTGGGGTTACGTGTGTTACCTGGTCAGTGAGGGCAGGGTCTGCTCCGTGGGCCAGTAGCAGCTCGACGATGTCGGTAGCGTCTGCCGCGCACGCCGCGTGAAGAGCTGACGACCCCACCTGATGCAGAATTATCATCATTATCATCACCATAAACGTCATCATCATCATGTCATTTAGTCCCACAGCAGAAGGATGACCCTTTCTAATTAAACGGGCTGTCAAACGCGACTCCATATATTTCTTTTGCCGGTTACTAGTGTGGCAAGATGCACATAAACTATGTGATAGAAATATTTAGGCAAATTAATGAACGAGGTCATGGGTAATTTTCAGAGGAAATTAACGAATACGAGCCAGCTCTTCGTACTTGTGAAATAGTTCGAGGAATTGAACCGGCAGATGCAAAAAGCCTATCAATTTAAAAGAAACTGTGTTACTGCACCACTTGACTTGATAAGTAGTGTCACCTAAAGTAATGCCACGGTAATGCAGTTCTGGGACAAACTGACAATTCACTGTGTATAAAAAAAACTTAACGAAGTGGAAGCAGCTTGATCACAAATAGTTTATTTATGAAAACAAACTTACATTATTCTGTAAGTGCACATTAGCCCCGAATGTCAGCAAGTGCTCTACTATGCCGCGGCAGCCTTGTGCACATGCCATCTGCAGAGCTGTCACACCGTTCTGAAAACAAAATGTTCATTACAAAACTCCTCGTAGTTATTAGTGTTAGAAGCATTTGTTTTTGTCTATTCATTTTTCATTTAAATTCAATATTCATCTGTTTCATACGTTTTCATTTTTTCCATAACGTATGAAGGTCTTTCAATGGGAAGTGAAACGCGACAAGGACATGTTCAAGATCGCACCTTGACTTTGAAGCGTCCCAGTAAATCGGAATTACCAGGCAACCATAAGCCCGTAGGGCATGGCGCTTACGTTATCGGTCGCGTCGACGTGACACTCGGATTCCAACAGCACCCGCACTAGCTCCGTGTGTCTGTGCACCGCCGCTAGATGGAGCGGCGTCCGCCCGGAGTTGTCTCGGGCTTCTCTGGACGCGCCTTTGGCTACCAGGAGAACAGCGGTGGGCGAGTGGCCGCTCTCGCATGCCACGTGTAGAGCGGTACGCCCGACCTGTTGGAAAGAGACGGACGGAGATAACTCATTGGGCAACTGGTTGATAACGTGACTGATTGGGAGCGAGTGAGGCAGGAGTTGTCCATTTACTAGTTTGGTTACTAGGAGAGCAGTGTTTGTGAGGAAGTATTTTTTTTGGTGAACTGCTTTTCTTTTTTTTTAGCCCAAATGTTACGACACGATGGCATATGCGTTGGAAATCTTCCTCTACGAATCGAAATCGAAACGAACGAAACTTTTAAGAATAAAGGTGCGTGTAAACAAAATTTGAAAATTTTCCAATTTCCTGATAAAAATAACCAAACTCTTGAAATAAATTGAAAATTTCTATCATTAATAACGTTACCAATTTCGTTCTATCGCTGGTACAGAGTTAATGGTGCCATCGCTTACGGGATATTAGGCCGGGGATTCCAAATGACCGAACGCGTCATTAAAGATAAAAAACGATTTTGTACTTTACTTGATGAAAATACAAGTTCGTTTGGCAAAGGTTCGGTAATCAGTTGATTAGTCTGGAGATTGACTTGATAATTTTCTCATTACTAAATAAAAATGTTTGATCGTCATGGCATTTACATTTTGTTACAGATTATTTTAGTTTGAGGTATTTTTTCAAAGACTGAGCGTTAATGGAGTGGGAGTTTTATGTGGCACACACCATTTGAGTTCATTATCTGGCACAGTCATTTGAACAGCTGTAAAATGGGTAGGAGTGGACAAGCCGTAAAACTTAACCAGCATCGAAATTAAAAATGGAATAGTTGAGTGTCTGGTCTGAACATGTGACGATCATACGTCACAAGAATGTTTAAAGCAAAAGACGATCGACTCGACGAATTAAATACTTTTATGGCAGCACTAAAACCTCTCTGCAGCCGTAAAGTCTCGTAACATGTTTTATCTAATAAATATGTAAATAACTTATTGCAAGTCAAATGGCTCCGTATTATTGCAGCTGACAGCTTGCGTTGTGACGTGCGCGAAGGCAGCGCACCATGTTGACGGCCATAGCGACCGCCACTGCGATTATGGTAGCCTGGTACTCTTGACTTTATTTTTTATTATTTACTTGGAAAAACAAAGGGAAATTGTTATTTTTTTACTTTTTTCTACCGTGAAACAAATCATGAAAAAAACTTTTTTCAACATTTTAGAACAAATGCTACTCAGTCAGGGAGGAGCTTACACAATACAATACTGTGACAATACTATGTAAGAAAAAACTACATATTATATGAAAAGATATCATATAGGTATACATAACAGTATAACTGGTATAACTTCAATTTCATGCTCATTTAACTGACATAGCCTGGATCAGCGAGCGTTTTTAATTCTGAATACAATAATACATACTTTATTGATTTATTTAAGCATGATTTTTCGTGATTTTGTGTTACCAAAATGAACGTTTAAAGATATTTAAGATACTTAATTATAAAAACACGTTAGGTACAGTCATTATGATACCACCAAAACAAACAAAAACACTTTAACATAACAATCATATTAGTACCTATCCTACAGCGACCGAATAAATCCCACGTAAATCTGTATAATTTTAAAGGAATATTTTAAAACGGCACAATTTATTCATTNATATATAGATTCATCGATTCGAGGCACAAACAAAATAACCGTTTATAAACAAAGCAGTATCGCTTTGACCGGCATCGCTCAGGGTGGGCAAACAGAAAAATTATTGTTTTCTTTCGATCTTCGCCAGGACGCAATTTGCATAGCAAACAAAACGGGGCAGACAAATAGGGCAGCCATTAACGATGCTCAAGGTGGAACAGGCTAAGGTCGGGAACTGATGGAATGAGGGCTATCGTTTTTATATTTAACAGTTGGCACCCCGATTGACAGGACCTTACTCTATAGTGGCGCCATCTTGATGAGTGCAAATGCGATAGTCCTCCTACCACTTTAGCGCTCACCAGTTGGTGCCACTGTCTTCGCTACTAGCAAGTGACAGGACCTTACTCTACAGTGGCGCTAACTGGTGAGCGCTAAAACGATAGCCCTCTTTAATACAATACTTGACAAGATTACCAGCTTTGCCCGCGATCTTTTCGCTTGTAGCAAGCATTTACGCCCGTCCGTATTTACAAACGATGCTTGCCTAAGTGAAGTAGCAAATTGAATGCATAGCGTTGAATAGAGCTCTGTGATTGGTTCATGTGTCACCCTGTGCGTCCACGCGCACTATGAGACCTCAATGTTTGTGAATACGGGCGTTAATGTTACATCTCTGCGCTTATTTCGCCATTGCTAAATTAATATGTATGTACTCGTATATTAAAGATACAGGCGTCACAGAAAGGCATTATCACTCGCGTGTTCCGCTTTTAAAGACTATCCTATGTTTTTCTCGGGGTCTCAATAAATAGTCTCTTCTTCCTTTGCTTTCACCTAAATTAGGTAGAGTTACTTTCACATTAAAATAGACTTTTTTATTTTTTTTAAAAGACGACATCAGTATTTCCGTCAGGGACAATGTACATATTTTCTTAACTTGGAGATTTTTACATTAAAGAAATGCAAAAAATGAGCCATATTTGGTAATATTGACAAATAATACCTAGACTATGCCTAAAAACTAAAAGCGAGTGTTCCTCACCTTTAAGTGCCTGACATTTTTTACCTAAGCCCCAAAAAGTTTGCAGAGCAATATATTTTCATCTGAAACTTCTGCGCCTAATACAGAAGCACTATTTCACGTCTTTAACCTTATTTATTAGGCCATTAGGACGGAAACACATTTAACCAATGTACTACGATTTGTTACCTGAACCTTAGGGAACATCCATTCAATTCCCGGTTAATTGGTGATACATTCAGGAGTTCTGCTGTACTAAATAGTGGGGTGATCCCATGTTGAGCCTACAAATAAAGGAGGCCAGTGGAAAGCTAATAAATACTTTGAATAACATAGACTTGAATGAGTGTAGCAGAAGTCACGTTTTCATACTTGAACACAAAATCAATGTTCATAGATTTTGGTGTAGAAACAGTTTCGACATGGAAACTTTTTACTGTCAAGCAGACAGATATTACTGAGAATCGGGACTATCCCACCGCTGCAACTCCTGTGTAGCCAGGATCTACAGATTGACCGCCAATAAAAACCCAGCCACTGAAGGTCAAGTTTGTCCCGGGGGAAAGTTAAACTGTAATTGGACCCGCAACGAAATTAATCAGTAGAACATAGGAGGAGTTTGAAGTTAAGGTTAGACTTCCTCCAGTGCAACAAAACAAGGGTTTATTATAACTTTGCATGAATTTTAGTGTCCTAAATACATAAGGTGAATGAAGTAGGTGAGAAGTTAATCAAAAGATTCTCATACAAAGACGAGCGAACCCGCGTGCCACGTGTGGTCTAGCTGAATAATAAACGCGCCGCTCCTGCGCTGATTCGATTTGCTATCTAATTTCCCGCGCTTCCCGCTCGCTACAAATCACTTTACGTGCTCGCGCGGATCGCTCTCAGAAAGTGGGAGAATTTTCATACGACGCGGTTACTGTGGACAGGGGTGGGCATTGTTTGGTTCCATGTAGGAAGTAATGGTAGCTATGTAGAGTGCAAAAGAAACGTCATTAGCTCATGGTCATAGAATGCAAGAGCGTGGCAAATCAAAATGCTCGAATTCTTAGTTCTCTAGCATTCTGGGATAATGGGTCTGTTGGAGTAGCAAGAAAAGCAAATCACTCAAAATATGTAGACTCCTCAGTAAGCTGAGTGCGAGAAAAGCTTAACCTTAATAACTAAGCTGTATGCTTTCCTAATAAAGATAGTAAAAAAGGGTTGATAGCAGCAAGGTAGGTACCAGCGCAATGACTTCTATCTAGAAGCAGTGACGCTGCTCCACACGGAACTGCTACGTTCTATGCTAACCTATTCAAATCTTTGCTCTAAGTAATGTAATAAAGATACGCACCTTATTAATAGCGTCAATATCAGCGCCTTTCTCCAACAGCAGCTCCACCAGAGCGGTGTGGCCGGCGCGAGCTGCTAATGCTAACGGCGCGTCACCAGCAGCGTCCGAACCCTGGACCTTGGCGCCGAGGCTGAGCACGTACGCCATTTATTGTAGCTCTATCAGCAATACCAGCACTTATAACTTCTAGAGGCATTGACGCCGCTCTACACAGAACTTTTTCTACGTTCTATGCTGAATCATCAGCGTCTTGTCTCTAAGTAGCTCTGTATAAATAATAAATATACGCACCTTATTAATAGCGTCTATATCAGCGCCTTTCTCCAACAGCAGTTCCACCAGCGCAGTGTGCGCGTCACCAGCGGCGTCCGATCCCTGATCCTTGTTCCGAGGCTGAGCACGAATTACATTATAGCAGCTCTACCAGAATTTACAACATCTAGTGGCAGTGACACACGGTTCCACTCCACACGGAACTTCTTCTACGTTTTATGCTGAACCGTCAGCGTCTTATCTCTAAACCTTGTCTAGGAGTATAAGATACCCACCTTATTAATAGCGTCAATATCAGCGCCTTTCTCCAACAGCAGTTCCACCAGCGCAGTGTGCGCGTTACCAGCGGCGTCCGATCTCTGATCCTTGTTCCGAAGCTGATCACGAATTACATTATAGCAGCTCTACCAGCATTTACAACATCTAGTGGCAGTGACACACGGTTCCACTCCACACGGAACTTCTTCTACGTTTTATGCTGAACCGTCAGCGTCTTATCTCTAAACCTTGTCTAGGAGTATAAGATACCCACTTTATTAATAGCGTCAATATCAGCGCCTTTCTCCAACAGCAGCTCCACCAGCGCGGTGAGGCCGGCGCGAGCTGCTAATGCTAACGGCGCGTCACCAGCAGCGTCCGAACCCTGAACCTTGGCTCCGAAGCTGATTGTGTACTACATTTATAGCTGCTCTACCAGCATTCACAACTTCTAGTGGCAGTGATACAGTTCCACACGGAACGTAGACGTTTTATATGGAACCGTCAGCGTCTTATCTCTAAACCTTGTCTAGGAGTATAAGATACCCACACCCACCTTATTAATAGCGTCAATGTCAGCGCCTTTCTCCAATAGCAGCTCCACCAGTGCAGTATGGCCAGCGCGCGCTGCTAACGCCAGAGGCGCGTCACCAGCGGCGTCCGAACCTTGGACCTTGACTCCGAGGCTGAGTACGTACGTACTAACTACATTTATAGCAGCTCTACCAGCATTTACAACTTCTAGCGGCAGTGACACAGCTCCACACGGAACTTCTTCTACGTTTTATGCTGAACCGTCAGCGTCTTATCTCTAAACCTTGTCTAGGAGTATAAGATACCCACACCCACCTTATTAATAGCGTCAATGTCAGCGCCTTTCTCCAACAGCAGCTCCACCAGAGCGGTGTGGCCGGCGCGAGCTGCTAATGCTAACGGCGCGTCACCAGCAGCGTCCGAACCTTGGACCTTGGCTCCGAGACTGAGCGCGTACGCAGCGACGTCTAAGGAACCCCGCGAGCACGCACACTGGAGGATGTCGTTGTGTTTCTATGGATAAAGACAAATTGATTCAGATTGATGGGCTGACACTGTATAGGTTTGTTTTGGACACGATAAGAAGAAGAATTGATTCAGGTTCTTTATTAATAGGACTACTCCGACTTCTAGTTCCCACGCTGCAACTCCTGTGTAGTCATGATCTACAGCTTGACCGTCAAATAATGAATCTTTATTATTAGTAGGGAAGTATTAAAATACCTGTATATTATAGACAGTTAAAATCTTAATATTACGAGTAAGACTTTCAGGGGTCTGAAAAACTCGTTTTAAATATAATTTGCGGTATACAAATGGGTATATTGTATCGACTGGTGCTGAAAATGATATAGATACAGTTAAAAGTAAATTAAAATTATGAAGAGAGAGATTTCAACAAAAGACGACAATAGAATTGCCTTTTTGGAAAAATGGTCGTTGTCAGTAGCAGTAGTACCTACCTACTTTTCTTTTTCTTTTACTTTTCTCCTAAAATAGGTCCTCAGTCATAAAATTATATGGTGTTTCTATTTCTTTGATCTACTAAACCATTCATTGATTCTTTCCGAATTCTAAAACAAATAATTAGCTAAAACTGGTTCAATTTCAGCGCATTGTGTACGTGCGTCAATTTCGAATCACCAAGTGAAATATTTGGTTACGTTTCCTCGAGGTTCTAAGAAGAGGGCCGAATCAAGGAGGATCCACAGCGGACAGAATCACAATTAATTAAGTAAATAATAAAATGAATCGAAAGTGTGATTCTTTATGAGTAGGAAAAATACTACAAAAAATAACTAGACAAAAATAAAAACTCATAAATTCATTAAGTATACCGTCAGGCAGGACTAAAGACCAATTTAGTTAAAAATATAGATTTGTATAATATTCTGTCTTAAAACAAAACATCGTAATATTATTACAAATAACATTTTTCCTCTTGACGCATCTAGATACCATCGGCAACAGTGTTAACTGCCCATTGCCGGGCATGTCGTTTCGTTCTATCGCAAAGAATCACCATTTGATGAGAGCGAGAGCAAAAACGGAAATGGATAGTTAACACTGTAGTCGTGTGTACTTTCATTTTTTTATTTATCCCTTTTTTCAGTCAAATAAACTCGAGTAATACGGCCCTGTAAATTTTAAATTACTCCGTTAGGTATTTGGTTACACGTACGTGACTTTGACACATTTTCAGTAATGGATATCAGGAGCGACATATTCGCGGAAGATGTTCGTTTGTTTTAGGGAAACGGTATGATGTGGGTAAATGTTTAATGCACACACTTTTACAAGGTAAGAGAAGATACAATATTAAAATGTAAAGCTATCAAAATAATACAAAACGTCGCGGGAAGCACCTGCATGCGGGTTGCGCAAAACCGTGGTCGTGGAAATCTTTGGGGAAAGCCTTTGTCTTCTAAGTGGCCGTCCTTTGACTGAAATATGATGATGATTGTGTTGTTCTGTTCTTTAACACAAAATCTACGTGACTTTTAACTAATTTTTAACCCTAAAATTTTATTTAATATGTATTTTAAATTCAAAAATATTGCGTAACACTACTTTAGTACCTAGCTAGGTATCTCGAAAAGGAACATAATTATATCGTTAATGTGTAATTAAGAAAACTTACACGACGTTCAGAAACAGGATTTTCCAAGGAAATGATGTAAGTTTACTTCGCTGTAGTAGACACGGTAAAGTTCTGTGGTAGGAACTTTGACGTTAAATTTTCATTCACCTCCTCAGAACTCAGAAGTTGCTGCAACTTGGCGGGAGAACTTACTATTTGGACAAAGATTGTGTATTTTTAATTTTAAGTTGTTTTGGTGTGTTTTAATGAAAAAACTTTATTTATAGACGTCCCTTCAATGTGGGGCGTAGCGTTCTAAAAATACCTTTCACGATTTCAGTAAGAGTTTTGTGCTTTGGTAAATGTAATACGATTACATAAAGGTTTTATACTATTTTTGCTTTCGAATAAGATTAATTTTCTCTATTCTAAAGTAATTAGCACACAGCTACCCAAAAATATTTAGCAGATGAATGAATAATTAATCTTCTCAGAATAAATAAACATCTGAAACATGATTGAAGTAATAAACTAATTCAAGAAGATTATATCTGATTCAAGAAATTAGATATTATTAGAGCAGACAAGATTAACTACGAGCTGTTAATTCAATATAAATAAATTGACGGACATTTAAAATAAAGTATCATAATTTTATTGTCAGTCTTATCTTCATTATTACCAGATACTTAGGCTGGGTTGCACCATCTTACTTTAACTTTGACTGTCAAACTCTATACAAAAAGCACCGGTTATCGTCAAAGTTACCGTTAAAGTTAGGTGGTGCAACTCAGCCTTACTTTACCAACTAGAAGTAGAGAAAATTAGCAATTATCATCAGCTCGAGTAATCGATTTATTATTATCCAGCTCTATCATACCAAATTAAAAGCACTGTTATTGAGTGCCTGCCTACATACGGAATCTATTAATCAGCCGAAACAAAAGCATTCACCAAACGAATCGAATAAGCTTATTTGTTACCGCGCCGCATTCGGTATCAATCAATTTATTTGGAGCATTTAATAATATTTTGGTAAACCGATTTATTCTAGAGCACTTTCACGGACAAATCGGACGATTTCATGGGTGGTGAGTTCAGTGAATTTAAATGCGAATGTATTATTAATTTTACTGCTTTCAGAAGAAACAGTTTCGTTTAAATATTGTGTTTATTTAATGTGGAGATAATTTTATAATGAATTTTCGTATGATGATGAATCGACTCATTCATTATTTTAACACGGTGGATATACTCGTAAAACAGTAATTAAACGAGACATTGCGAATGAATGGATCGACTTACATAATTAAACACCAATTCATCAAAATACCAAAGTTTTTGTTTATTGATATTAATCAGAAAATATAACTAAAATAATACAACTTCTTATGCTCCTCTTCCTAGGAATGAGAAATAGTAAGAATGCAAATCTGAAATAGATTCTCAAAGTACTAGGAGAGCATACCTTGTTAGTAGCTGCGAGGCAGGCTCCGGCCGCGACGAGCGCCTTAACCGCGTCGAGGTGGCCGTGCCAAGCGGCCATGAGAAGCGGCCGCATGCCGAACTGCGGGCAAACGAGTCGGTTAGCTCCTGCAGCGTTATGGCAGCCTGGTACTTGTCGGGGGGGAATGTGGCGAAATAACACGAACGAAACGAACGTGGAGGCAACAGTGGATCAGCGGAACGTGAGGCGGAACGTTTCGTCTCATTTTATCGAATGAAAGTGAGAGTAGAAACCGCTTTTGACTTCTGGCAGCCTTGTATTTCGGGGATTGATTTTCGCGTGGCGTTCCGTTCCGTTACCATGAAAGTTGTGATTCTGGCTAAACAATCCTTGCTCGCTTATTTAACCCTGGTACTATTGAGGGGCAGAATCAGATGTTGTGACGTCTCATTCCAACGTAACTCACTATAAAATTAGGCATTATTGTAGGTATGATGATGCAGAGAATATGAGTGGATTTGTGACTTACCTTTAAATATGTATGAACAATATAAAAAACAAACCGAATAATGTATGCGAACAGACAGTGAAATAACACACAAAATGAATTATGCATTCGCAAATGAGGCCGATAATGCTGATGTGGATGACAATTCGGTTTAACGGTCCATGGACAAATAGGGATGGGTTGTTTAATTAATATTATCGATTTAATTAACAAATACACAATGTGTCTGTCTCGAATAACTTTATTGATTAGTTGTATTGTTTTTATTTACGATGGCACCCATAAGTACAGACAAAATAAGTGATTTTGGGTAGAAATTAGAATTCTGTAAAATTACTAGGGATGAGTTGCACCACCTTATTTTAACCGTAACAATAACAATAACCGGTGATTATCGGTGCTTTTTGTATGGAGTTTGACAGATTTTTGACGTTTCTCAAAGTTAAAGTAAGATAGTGCAACTTCAGCCTAAGTTAAATTATTTTTAGCTAAGTTCTACCTGCACGTTTTATCCATAAACTAATAGTAAATTTATGTAACTTATTTCACAAGATTCTCGTTGAAAACTCTATTATAGAAAGTAATACATATTTATTAATAGTGAAGAAAGATGAGGTATGCGAAGAAGTGAACGTAAAAAACACAATGAAATTTTCATTAAATATGTATGTTTTAAAATTAGTCCATTTATAATACTTATTTATCGATATCCTTACGTATGCTGGAGCATCCCTAAACAAAGCGGATATGTTAGTGAAGGCGGGAAGCAGGGCAATATTGGCTGTGGTTTCAGTGCGGATTACAGCAGCTGGCTATTAATAACACTGCGTTGGACTGTCTGTTTGTTAATCAGTGTGATGGTTTTGTAAAATCTATACTACAAGGCATACGGAATAAGTTTTCCGATATTGTGGAGTGGTGCAGGAGTAGTGACATTATGACACGAGTATTAAAATATCTGTGATATTATACGTTAGAGATTTGACATTTGCCGCACACCGTTGATTTTTCGTCGGCCGATAGTTTAGTCGGGCAGTTGATCAGTATGGGCATTGGGCATGTATGGGAGTGCGCACACTACGCCGATTCGATTTGGCCGATTTTTCATACAAATTAAAATCGGGCACAACTATCGGCCAACTAAAAATCAACGGTGTGCGCCTACTCTAACAGTTGTCACTGTAAACACGTGTTCACGCGGCGTTTGACCTAATAAAAAATATTAAGACGAAATGAATACCTCCTCCATTTTTGAAGTCGGATAAAACACGCCCCTCTTATACCTGTAATCCTGCATACTAGTTAAATGCTATAAGTATACCAGTAATATTAAAAACGCGAAAGGCTGTATACATACAAAACTGTTGAACGAATTTTGATGAAGTTGTAATCATAGGTACCTTTTTTTTTTTTTTTGCGTCAGGAAAATGTATTGAAATGCATACCCACCGGTCCGGGGGTTCCGGTGGGTTATGTGGGGCTCTCCCTGCCAGAAGGGCAGGGCCTACCCACTAAAAACCTGACGGGTCCCTCGGGTGGCGCTTAGTGGAGTAGCACGTAAGGCGCCGTTAAGTCGTTCACGTGCGTACCCCCACGCTTTGGCCGCAGCCTCACTCAAACTGTCGCCCTTAGAAGGGCAACTCTCTCCGAAGCGCGCGGGGACTCCGCGCGCACTTCGGGCCTCAATGTTAGGAGGCAGACGCCCCCGCGTCTACCTCCATGAGGCTCGCCGTCGTGCCGGCTCGCTGCGCCGGCTTCGGCTTTTGCGCCGGCTGAGGGCAATCTTTTGCCCCCAGCATGTGCTCCACGGCCTTACCAGCCGCTGCACACAACAAGCAGCGGGGAACCTGGGCCGGGCACACCTTGGCCTTATGGCCCTCTTCACCGCAGCGGAAACAGAGTCCACTGCGATCAATGCCAGTGGCGCACTTAAAGGCCGTGTGGCCAGTGCCCCAACAGGCGACACACCTTGACGGCCTCGGTTTCAACAGCGTTACCTGTACCGAGGCCCATCCGATTAGTAGCCGGCGACACTTCGCCAGCTCTTTTGCTACCTTAGCAGGTACCCGCACGATAACGCTGCGGGACTCCCTGGCTCCACTGATCTTGCCCACTGAGATGTTTTCCAGTGGGCAGTTCGTTCTTGCCGATATAACGGCCGAGACTTCTGGCGCCCCGGTTGAGTCATCAAGACCTGTTAAGCGGAGATCCTCGGACCTGATCGGACGCCCGATACGGACCGTCTCTTCTGTGAACTCGGGCACTGCCCGTAAAGCGGCTGCTAGTCTGTCAGCCTTCACCTCCACGTCCGAACCTGACAGAACGAGGAGTTTGGTGGCCGACTGACTTGGCTTAAACCGAAGACCGTCCATTATTCCCAGCTGGGCGAGATCCACCTGCTGTTTGGCCAAATGTATGAACCACACAAAGTCGCGAGGTGGATCATAACGGGCGGCCTCCGGCGTCATGGTCACGGTTATGGCCGCAGTTCTGGGCACGCGCACCCTCCGCGCGTTTCCTGTGGTGCGGCCAGGGCCTGCCTTTTTCTGACCCACGGGTTGCGGTTTGCTAGGCTGGCTTTTCTCGCCGCCGCTACTTTTGTTTTTCCCGCGTTTCACTACCTCTGTCCAACCGGCATCCATGGACGCTGGTGCTGGAGGCAGAGAACGGGGCTGTTTCTCTGTCTCTGTTTGAGATGGCGCAGGGGCAGGTGGAGATTTGCCCTTCTTTTTTCGAGCGCGGCTCTTTTTTGAAGGAGACGGCGCAGGCGCCGTGGTCACCTTGGAGGGTTCGGCAATTGAGGCCTGTACAGGCGCCGTCTTGGGGCCGGTGCGCGCCTTTCTCTGTGAGGCTAGTGCAGCCTTTGCTGGGGGAGCCGATTGTGGGGCCGGAGCAGCTCTCTTAGCTGCTGCCCTTGTGGCGGGGCCATCGGTTGTCGTTGATGGGCTGGAGAGGGATTCTGACGTATCGGCCGCGAGAGGAGGCCGAAGGCGTTTCTCCGGCAGAAGACGCTCCTCGATCCCTTTAAGTTTGGCATCCATCATAGTCCCCACCCTGACCATGATCTCTCTTTCTACGTCGCCCGCCAGGACAGAACTGGTGGGCGCAGGAGCCTGTGTGGCGGCAGGAGTAACCTGGCTTTTCTCGGCCTTCAGCTTTTGGATTTCCTGCCGGAGTTCCTCAACTTCTTTCTTGAGGAGGTTGTTGGCGGCATTAAGTCGACTAATCTCCTCCTCAGGAGTTCTGGCTGCTATTGCCGCGACGGCTGCGTCAATAGTAAGGGCGGNACGGTATCACCGATTTTTTTATTATTATTTTTAATCACTATTTAAGACTTATCCTGCTAGTTTCGTTTCTCATTTTATACCTTATAATATTCCTATTTATGCGTAATATAATATATCAAAAACCTACCAATGTACAACTCTTTATTTTTTTGGTTGTTCTCCTTTTTGTTTTTGGATGCGAGCGGGGATGGTCGACAACATGACCGCGCGGCCCTACGGAACGGATTTTCGAATTTTCGCTCGCTGGGGCCATGGGGGTCAATGATGTCCGACGCTTAATAATTCGATGTAAAGACTCAAAAACAACTATATGTTAATAAAATCCTTTATTTATGTTTATAATGTAACGATTTAACAAAAAAAAACAATCGACGAAAATTGAAAAAAATTGAAATTTTTACTTGGCCTGGTAGGAAAGTGCAGTGTCGGACAACATTGACCGCGTTGGCGTTCAATGTGTTAATAAACACTGCGATGGACTGTCTGTTTGTTAATCAATGAAATGGTTTTGTAAAATCTATACTAAAGGCAAAACGCATAAATGGAGTAAGGTTTCGGGGTAGTAAAGGTGTGCAGGAGTAGTGACATGTCTGTGATATTATGACGTAACAGCTGTCACTGTAAACACATGTTCACGCGGCATTTAACCTAATAAAAAATATTAAGAAAACCTACTCCATTAAAACAGTTCTCAGTTCAGTTCAGTATACTTATTGCTTATTACAAAATCATCCTGTTTACAAAACTACTGAACGAAACGATAAAGTTTTAAAGTGTTTAGCCTGAAGTCGCGGGCAAAAGCTAGTAATAACATGAAACAGACTAAAAAAATGATCCGTGAATGTGTAAGCTTTTTCAGTGTAAATCTATTTTTGAAGTCCACTGTATCACAAGTGAAATCTCTAATGGGTTTACCTTTGCGGAAATTAGTCCATAACTCTGCGCTACACTTAAAAGAGGGTGTATCGTAAAGGTCAAGGGCTGAAAACTCATTTTCGAAACGATTAACACAACCGAGCCCCTTAAAACTGCAGTTTACCGAGTCTAAATTTAGATTAAATTAAAAAAATTGTTTAGTATACAGTCAACAGCACATCAGACTTTTAATTATTGCAAAATCGTCCCTATTGCAAATAATTATGATACTATATTACCTTACTAATAAAAGTTAGACGTGTGTTGAACAAAGTGACGTTTAGTAATAGAATTGCCGTTTTAAGGCATGTGTGACTTTATTAGAAAACTATTTAAGTACGATTTTATCATTACTAGGGCTGATTTTTCACTCCTTGATAACTTTTAACTGAAGACTAAGTTTGGTTATTTTTATTTATTAGGACAACCAACAAGACATACACTAGAAGACAATAAATATTTACAGCGTATTTAAACTTAATCTAATTGCTGTCTTAATTATAGGTTGCCATGGCATATTGCATGCCACACATTTAAACAGTAAACACTAAAAGGAAAGAGTTTCTTCAGTTAAAAGATATCTGACGATTGAAAAATCAGCCCTTAATGGTATTTAAAACAACGTTACCTTATCAGCAGCTTCTATGTCGCACTTTGCTTCGATAAGCTGTTTGATGATTTCTACGTTGCCTCTGCTAGCTGCCCAATGTATCGGTGCTCGGCCATACTAAAACAAACAACAAGAAATATAAATAATATTCACAAATAATGTGTGAAATTCCAGTAATTTAAATCATTTATTATCATACATACAGTTATGGCGCTGGAAAAGTGTAAAATAATAGAGTGACAGGGAAAATAAAAACAAAAGAAAGTTTTTCTGGCACGAAAAAGAAAAAGTTATTTCTTGCCGGCCAGTTGGCTCAGTCTGACAATAAATGCGGTTGAATACCGAAGGTTGAAACTTTTAAAAGTAAAATAATGCATGAGTTAAAGTGTTCGATTTATTGACACTGGCTGTCTTTACGCAAATCAAATAAGAGAAAAAAAACCAGTCGAATTTTAAATAGGATGTTCGGTGTTGGTTTTGGATATTTTCGCCCGTATTCACGAACATTATTATGAGGCCTCACTATACGTGGACGCACAGGGTGACACATGGATCAATCACAGAGCTCTATTCAATGCTGTGCGTTCGATTTGCTGCTTCACTTAAGCAAGTATCGTTTGTGAATACGGGCGTAATATCCAAACAGGTAAAATTGATACTCAATATTAAAAATATTTGTTTACGCCTGGGAAATTCTCCAAAGAAACAAAATCACAAGATATAATGAATCAAGGTTGACTTGTAATTGACTCCACGAGCAATTAACTCTGCTGAAGTCGATGTGATATTGAGAACATGATTTCATTAGCACGAGCCAACTAAAAATAGATATTAATTACTTATGCGTACCGACTTGTAAAGGATGTTACTAAAATTAATTAAAATCTCTTTTCCTAATTAGAATAATTAGATATTTGAGTACATTTTAGAGATCGATTTCTCTACCAAATTTTCCAATTCCTGTTTAATAACTTATTATAGTTAATTTTCCTTTGTCTGCTATCGTATGGATTATGGTTACAAACAAGATTATAATTTAGGTATATACTACCCAACTCGGCGAATTTCGTACCGCCTATTTTCATCAGAAATAATTTAAGATTCTAATGGTGAAAGATTTTTTTGAAATCAGTCCAAACAACAAAACTTTCTTCTTTATAATATTAGTGTGGTAGATATAAGTACTAGAGTGAGATAGTCAGTTACAAACCACCCATAATAAATTAAAAATAATCCTTTTCATTAATCAATATTTCAAACAGACCGTAAAACACAAAAATACATTGCAATTAATGAGTTTTGTACGGATGCTCTCTTGCGGATACGTTCCAAATATAGCCTGACCTCCCACGGATCTGAAACACCCACGAGGTAACTGGAATTTTAAACCAGTGATATATCCTAAAGCAATCGTTTAAATGATATACTGAAAAGGAAAATTTTAAAATAAACTGTCGTTTTAGATTGCACGAGTTGTGAGATGACATTGATAAGAGCTTCTTTTATTTATGATACTTATGCCCGTTTTCACCATCAATCCAAAATTTTTAAGTGACCCCTATGGTAACACTTAACAGGAATTTAATGTTCATAGGGGTCACTTAAAAATTAGGGAGAGATGGTGAAAACGGGCATTACTCTTTTAAAAATGAGGAGATCCGTAAACGACCTAAAGTCTCCTAAGATCCGTAAGCAACTGATTAGTAAGCTGAAGTGGCAAAGAACAGATTACATAGCATGCAGAACTGATAGAAATCATTGGGGGAAGCCTATCTTCAGCAATAGACGTTCCGTGGCTATAATCATTCTACAAATTAATTATTTTCATTTTCATACAAATCTGATTTTATAAATTTTATTTTGTATGAACATTGAAAAATTAAAATGATGATATCAAACTGACTTCACCATACCATTTATATATATGCATGTTAACATGGGCTAGTGTCGGCTCATATACTCATTTACCTTACACCCTGTATTACAAACGCGCAAGTACGACGTGTACGACCCACTAACGCCCCGCGTAGGCTCCACTAACGAAGTCGAACCGTAACTTCGAACTCCTCCTATGTTCTTCTGATTAGTTTCATTGCGGGTCCAATGACAGTTTAACTTTCCCCCGGGACAAACTTGAGCTTCACTGGTTGGGTTTTTATTGGTGGCCAAGCTGTAGATCCTGGCTACACAGGAGTTGCAGCGGTGGGAACGAGAGGTGGGAATAGTCGCGTAGCGCACCGCAGAAATGTGCAATGCCGCCTGGGGGGCTACTCTAAAACGCTGTTTACGTAGTTTCGGGTCTATCTGTCACCGTCGCTCATGCTGGCGTCTCTCTTTGTGTGAGAGGGATAGCAACATCCGAAACTTCAGATGACGTTTTTCGGAGTAACCCCGCTGTTGTTCGGATTGTACTCACGTTGTTCCTGCAGTTGACATCCGTGGGCCTGAGCAGCGCCTCCCTGACGGCTGCGGGCTCGTTCTTGATGACAGCCTCGTGCAGAAGTAAATCGTTCTGCTGCACACGCGACCTACCCTCCGTCATCTGCAACAATCGTAGAGATAACACTGGTCAACACATGTTTTTTTTCCTTAATTTTTTTTCTGTTATTGGGTATTTCTATGGCCCTGATTATGAAAAAAATACTGGGAGATCGCCAACAGCTTTACTTTTTAAAATATAGAGTTTTATTATTTTGACAAAAAAATACGAAAAATTATACATTGTGCTAATAAAAATTCTATTGAACACTAGCAAATGATCTTTTATATGATTTCCTTTAATAGGCAAGTTTGAGTAGATCTCGTTGCAAACTCCAGCAATGGTCTGCCATTCATATATGAGCACCACGCCCCTGATAACCTTCTTCCATTGTCAGAAAATTCCAATGAAAACTTTTATCCTGCTCCTCACTAAAATTACCCACATTTTGTGGAAATTGATGTTAATGCGAGTACATGAAGTGTATTTTTATGCCCATGTTGCACCCTAGCTCTTGCAAGTTGGATAGCATGCTCTCAACAATCTCTTTTTGCTTAGGAAATTACTTATAACCAAAAAAAAAATCATTTTAAGCTTAGGACTAGACTTCACTAATTGATTTCTTAAAATAACGATCATTCACCAGTTGCCTAATGTGAGTCCCATCAAAAATTACCAGCTTTTAAGTTTTCTGTGCTTATTCCTGAAAAATTGCATGAAAGAAAATTAAAACATTCGTCACTTTTGTCAAGCGCCTTCACAAACTGTTTCAAGATGCCGAGCTTTTAATATAAAGTGGTGGAAGTGCGGTGATACGGTCTTGGCCAACTAAAGGCACGTTTATAAAATTGTTTGTATCAACTTTAGCCGAAGAGCTAAAAGTTGTGTGTGCGGGAAGCCGCACTGGTAATTTTTTTTGTAACCAATGCTATTGTTTGTTACGACTATTCCAGAGACACATGGAACCGGAATTTTGTGTAGCCCCGTTGTTGGCCTAAAAGATGTTACCTATTCTCAAAACACAAATGACCCATTTGTGGTCTTGATTACTGAATTTCAAATATTTATATTAAAGTATCGATGTTACGCAGTTTTCATCCAGTCCGATAGAGGTTTTCGATGTTTTTCAAATATTATATTTACCACAAACATAGCAGAAGCCATCTGGATTAAGCACACAACATCTTCATAACGAAGCAATATCGAAAACACCAACAAAATATATTTTTTTGTCTAATTAAATCAAAAATCTAAGTAAAAATATTAAATGAGGGTAGATAGCTATAACTTAAAAACAAAAGCTGTTAGAGAAAAACTGTTGCCATATTTAAAAAATATGCGTCAATTTGAGATAGAAACAGAAAAAAAATCACAGGAAACAAACAATTTTATTTTTTTTGTTGACCAGTGTAATAATATGAAGAGTTATCGACATTCAGATTAGAAGCCTGAGGTGGCAGTGGGCTGGCCATATCTTACGAAGAACTAGTAACATCTAGGATAAACGAGTCCTTCATTGGACACCGCGTCTCGGCATGCGTAGTGGGATCTAGAAGAGAAGGTAAGACGAGAAGCCGAAAATTAGGTAAAATGGCTTGTATTCGAAGAGGCCTAGTCCATCTTAATGGATTACCAGGGAAGTTATGGATATCCGTAAGCGTAACCGAAACTTTCGGATATCCGAAATAAAAAAATATCCGAAACCGTAACCGTAACCGATTCAAAAGTTTCGGATAGTTTCGGATGTAGGCAGTTTAAAAATTGTTTTTGCATAGCATTATATGTAAAGGCATAACAGCCTGATTTACCTTTATAATGCCATCTAGTATCAATTTTTTTTTATTACTTTTTATTCGATGTAAAGTGTGCGGTCATGAATGAACCGTGTTGGACAACCATTTCAAATTGCATTATAAAGCACAGATGTCTGTAACTGTAACCGAAACTTTCGGATATCCAAAATAAAAAAAATATCCGTAACCGTAACCGAAACCGGTATAATAATATTCCTATATCCGTAACCGTATCCATAACCGAAACTACATATCCATAATATCCCTATACGAGTATACTGTAGTGTACTATACTGTACTATAGAGGCTGATAATAATGAAGTTGAAGAAATATCACCCTATTTAGGAATGCCAGCTCCATCGTATGGTGAACTTAGGCATTGCCATCGAAAATCGAAAAGTACCTTTCGTCACCTGTGACAATTTTCTCCTTATTTGAGAGGACTTAACGAGAAAAAATTCTCCTTAAGTTTAAGGAACTTATATCCTCATAAATGTGCCAGCTCTACATACGGTAAACTTCAGCAATTAAATGCTTAAGTGGACTTGACTCTACTCGAGTGGAAATTTAAGGCAGTTTAGGACGAAACTTCGCTTCATCGGATCTGAGCTATGCCAAAACACTGAACTATGTATTAGTACAGTGGTTCCCAAAGTTGTCTGGGCTTTGACTCATCTAATACAAGTTCCCAAATTCGGGACCCATCTATAGGAAATTTCGCCCGCTGCCCCGCGGTTGGATCGGTAGGGTGGTGTGTCGTTCTACAGGCAGGGCCCACTCAATGTTCGCTCGCGAAGTTTGGGAAACTCTGTATTAGTAGATAAGTAGGTAATTTATGTTCTCAGTATTAAAAAATCCAGTATCAATAAAATCTACTTATAGTTATGGTAATAGTCATCTTCTGGTATTCTCGTATCCAATTTGAACGTTATTTTAGTAAAGGATCGATTTCGATCATGTACATAGAAATATGAATTTTGGACATTACAAATAATAGAGAACAAAACAGCAGTCGTGATAATGCTAAAATAATGACTGTTTGAAACACAATTTTCAAACTTTTTCAAATCAATTCATATGTCACCTATGTGTATGAGAGCTGGCTATTAAAACATGATTATACTAAATTGGACAATTTCATGACAAACACTATTAACAATTTTACTGAAAATCTGATTTAACTGACACAGTTAAAAAGCTTTTGTAAACTTTGATACGATGATAAAAGGTTTATTCCATTAGATTCTCTAACTCTTTGTTAATATTAAAACATTGTTTACGCGTGTTATGCGAGCTGTACAGGGTGGAAACGATAAGTGATCTCACTCGATTATTTCTAAACTATGCAAGATATCGAAAAACTGGTTCGTTAGTTCGTTTCAGCCGAAAGACGTCCACTGCTGGACAAAGGCCTCCCCCAAGGATTTCCACAAAGACCGGTCCTGCGACCCGGTGATTCTTAGCACCCCTCGCCCCAACGTTACCGTGACCGCTACCGTGGCCCGGGATAGTGGGGCCGCCGGGGACTAGAGGCCGTGTTTTTTGTTCCTCTCCATGGGGGGGATTTGCCTTAATCGCCACGCCATCGGTGAAAACATTGAATTTTCGGATAGATCCAGTAAATTCTGTAACCTATCACTGATACCGTTAGAAAGAGCTCGTGAAGCTCTTTCAGGATCAGTAACCAGTTTTTCGATATCTTGTGTAGTTTAAAAATAATCGAGTGAGATCACTTATCGTTTCCACCCTGTATGTACTTACCTCGGTTCTACGAATGATCGGACGATGTCGTCTAGACGCCTGAGCATCGAGCCCGGCTTGGAGCTTCAGTCAAAGACTTAGATTTTATAAGGTTAGTTAAGTTGAATTGTAATTGAAAATAAAATATATTTATTTTCGTGAAAGCTCTCGGATAGAGTATAATTCGCGAAAGTCTCTTTCAGATTGTTTATTTATCAGTTGGGTTGTGATACCTGGAGAAATAAAAAGTACCTTAAGGCCTTTTTACATCGCGACTTTTTGCAGCGATACAAATGCGATTTAGTCGTGATGCAGCTTCGATACAGTTGCAAAGGTGCCGAGCTGCAAAGTCGCAATGTGTAAGGCAGAGTTTGGATTTTTTAAATCAATTTTTTTGATCATCAAACGAGTGACAATGATTTCTGTGACAGAGTGAAACCGTAGGGTATATAGTTTTCATTAGCAGAAATAATTCCGAATTCACTATGTACAAAATTAAAAGTAAAACACGAAACGGTTTGGTTAAAAAAACAAACCATATTTAGCTATCTTAAATTACAGAGATCATTACGCTAAATCCTTGTAAATGTGTACCTATTGTATTTATGTACCTATGTTTCCCTATTATTTTCTCTACACGTGTCTGAGAAAAGCCCCATTGTCTTTCAGGGAAAATGGCTNCATGAGTTAATGTTCGATTTATTGACACTGGCTATCTTTACGCAAATTAAATAAGAGAAAAAAAACCATTCGAATTTTTAAATAGGATGTTCGGTGTTGGTTTTGAATACTTTCGCCCGTATTCACAAACATTACTATGAGGCCTCACTATGCGTGGACGCACAGGGTGACACATGGACCAATCACAGAGCTCTATTCAACGCTGTGCGTTCGATTTGCTGCTTCACTTAAGCAAGTATCGTTTGTGAATACGGGCGTAATATCCAAACAGGTAAAATTGATACTCAATATTAAAAATATTTGTGTACGCCTGGAAAATTCTCCAAAGAAACAAAGTCACAAGATATAATGAATCAAGGTTGGCGTTGTAATTGACTCCACAAGCAATTAACTCGGCTGAAGTTGATGTGATATTGAGAACATGATTTCATTAGCACGAGCCAACTAAAAATAGATATTAATTACTTATGCGTACCGACTTGTACTTGTACTAAAATTAATTAAAATCTCTTTTTGTAATTAGATATTTGAGTACATTTTAGAGATCGATTTCTCTGCCAAATTTTCCAATTCCTGTTAATAACTTATTAAAGTTAATTTTCCTTTGTCTGCTATCGTATGGGTTATGGTTACAAACAAGATTATAATTTAGGTATGTACTACCTAACCCGTCGAATTTCGTAGCGCTTATGTCCATCAGACATAATTTAAGATTCTAATGGTGAAAATTTTTTTTCAAATCAGTCCAAACAATCAAAACTCTTCTTTATAATATTAGTGTGGTAGATATCAGTACTGGAGTGAGATAGTCAGTTTCAGATTTCAATACCATCCATAATAAATTAAAAATAATCCTTTTCATTAATAAATATTTCAAACAGACCGTAAAACACAAAAATAGATTGCAATTAATGAGTTTTGTACGGATGCTCTCTTGCGGATACGTTCCAAATATAGCCTGACCTCCCACGGATCTGAAACACCCACGAGGTAACTGGAATTTTAAACCAGTGATATTTCCTAAAGCTCGTATGATATACGGAAAAAGAAAATTTTAAAATAAAATTTAGTGTCGTTTTAGATTGCACGAGTTGTGAGATGACATTGATAAGAACTTCTTCTATTTATGATACTTATGCCCGTTTTCACCGTCAATCCCTAATTCTTAAGTGACCCCTATGACAACACATAACAGGAATTTTGTTTTCATAGGGGTCACTTAAAAATTAGGAGAGATGGTGAAAACGGGCATTACTTTTTTAAAAATGAGGAGATCCGTAAACGACCTAAAGTCTCCTAAGATCCATAAGCAACTGATTAGCAAGCTGAAGTAGCAAAGAACAGATCACATAGCATGCAGAACTGATAGAAATCATTGGGGGAAGCCTATCTTCAGCAATAGACGTTCTGTGGCTATAATCATTCTATACAAACGCGCAAGTACGACTTGTACGACCCACTAACGCCCCGTACGAACCTTAACTTCGAACTCCTCCTATGTTCTTCTGATTAGTTTCATTGCGGGTCCAATGACAGTTTAACTTATCCTTTGGGACAAACTTGACCTTCACTGGTTGGGTTTTTATTGACGGTCAAGCTGTAGATCCTGGCTACACAGGAGTTGCAGCGGTGGGAAAGAGAGGTGGGAATAGTCCCGTAGTGCCCCGCAGCAATGTGACAATGCCGACTGGAGGGCTACTCTGAAACGCTGTTTACGTAGTTTCGGGTCTATCTGTCACCGTCGCTCATGTTGGCATTTCTCTTCGTGTGAGAGGGATGGCAACATTCGAAACTTCAGTGTGCCTACCATGAGTTTACGTTAGGTGTGCTCGCTAGCGACTGCGTAAAAAAATGACATTTAAATGTATGACATATTGTGCAGCGCCCCTAGCGACTACTTTCAAGAAATAAAATCTTCATAGAATTTTTTGACGTATTCGCTAGCGAGCTCACCTAACGTAAACTCATGGTAGGCACACTGATGACGTTTTTCGGAGTAACCCCGCTGTTGTTCGGATTGTACTCACGTTGTTCCTGCAGTTGACATCCGTGGGCCTGAGCAGCGCCTCCCTGACGGCTGCGGGCTCGTTCTTGATGACAGCCTCGTGCAGAAGTAAATCGTTCTGCTGCACACGCGACCGACCCTCCGTCATCTGCAACAATGGTAGAGATATGATATGATATATTGTCGCCCGTTTGGTGTAGGTAGTGGTTCGGAACGGACTACTATGCCGAGAGAAATTCAAATGATGAATTTTAATTTCTGTGACGGGTCTGGGTGTTACTATGTATGTTATATATGTATGTATTTACAAAAAAAAAGTATTTAAGTATGTTTGTATCCATTGTCTAGTACCCATAGTACAAGCTTTGCTTAGTTTGGGAACAGAAGCGTAGGGTAAAATGTCCAAGGATATAAAAAAAAAATTAAGATTTATCGACATTCATATTAGCAGCCTGAGGTGGCAGTGGGCTGCTGGCCATATCTTACGAAGAACTGGTACAATCTAGGATAAAAGAGTTCTTCATTGGACACCGCGACTCGGCAAGCGTAGTGAGATCTAGAACAAGGTAAAATGATAAGCCGAAAATCATCATCATCATCATTTCAGCCATAGGACGTCCACTGCTGAACATAGGCCTCCCCCAATGACTTCCACATCGCACGGTTGATAGCGGCCTGCATCCAGCACCTTCCTGCTACCTTTATCAGATCGTCGGTCCACCTTGTGGGTGGACGTTTCACGCTGCGTTTTCCGGTACTCGGCCTCCATTCCAGAACCTTGCTGCCCCATTGGCCGTCAGTTCTGAGTACTATGTGCCAGGCCTAGTCCATCTTAATGGATTACTATACGAGTATATTGTAGTATACTATACTGTACTATAAGCTGATTAATGAAGTTGAAGAAATACCCTATTAGGTGTGCCAGCTCCACCGTATGGTGAACTTCTTAGATATTGCCATCGAAAGGTACCTTTCGTCATCTATGACAATTTGCTCATTATTTGAGAAGACTTAACGAGAAAAAACTATTCTCCTTAATTTAAATAGTAAGACATGGGTCTTAACGCGACGTTTATTAATGAGTTACATTATGTACTCACGGCTTGACGTTTCGGCTGCTATGCTGCAATCGTGGCTACAAGCAGACTGACATAATGTAACTCATTAATAAACGTCGCGTTAAGACCCCTGTCTTACTATTTTAATTGAAATGGAACGCGAAAGTTTAAAATCTTATATTCTCCTTAAGTTTAAGGAACATATTATTATATCCTCATAAACGTGCCAGCTCTACAATATACGGTAAAGTTCAGCAATTAAATGCTTAAGTGGACTTCACTCTACTCGAGTGGAAATTTAAGGCAGTTTAGGACGAAACTTCGCTTCATCGGATACGGGCTATGCAAAAACACTGAAATAGTTCAGTGTTTTGGCATAGTCCGTATCCGATGGACTAATACAGTCATAGGTATTAGTAGATTAGTAGATAGACATATAAGGCAATTTATGTTTAAGTATTAAGTTCGGGAAAATCCAGTTTCAATAAAATCTACATAATTAAGGTAATTGTCGTCTTCTGGTATTTTCGAATCCACTTTGAACGGGTTTTTAGTAAAGGATCATGTATAATAATGTATGTAGAAACATGAATTTTGGACATTACAATAATAGAGAACAAAACAGTAGTCAAATAGGTAATGCTAAAATAATGACAGTTTGAAACACAATTTTCAAACTTTTTCAAATCAATTCATGCGCCACCTATGTGTATGAGAGCTGACTATTAAAACGAGATTATACTAATTGGAAAATGTCATGACAAACACTATTAACAATTTTACTGAAAATCTGATTTAACTGACACAGTTATCCTTTGAAATTACATTAAAAAGCTTTTGTAAACTTTGATACGATGATAAAAGGTTTATTCCATTAGATTCTCTAACTCTTTGTTAATATTAAAACATTATTTACGCGTGTTATGCGAGCTCTATGTACCTCGGTTCTACGAATGATTGGATGATGTGGTCTAAAGCCTGGTCCGTGAGCACGTAGAATTTTGTCCAATGACCCCAAGCTACCAATCCTTATCGCTCGCGTGTAATTATGTTGCTGTCACGCTCGCATTCTCACTGCGGGCGCTCGTCGCACAGTCGCGACAGCAATATAATTACACGGGAGCGAGAAGGATGGGTAGCTTGGGGTCATTGGACAAAATTCTACGTGCTCACGGACCAGACTATAGACGCCTGAGCATCGAGCCCGGCTTGGAGCTTCAGTCGAAGACTTAGATTTAATAAGGTTAGTTAAGTTGAATTGTAATTGAAAATAAAATATATTTATTTTCGCGAAAGCTCTCGGATAGAGTACTTATAACTCGCGAAAGTCTCTTTCAGATTGTTTATTTATCAGTTGGGTTGTGATACCTTGAGAAATAAAAAGTGCCTTAAGGCCTTTTTACATCGCGACTTTTTGCAGCGATACAAATGCGATTCAGTCGTGATGCAGCTTCGATACAGTCGCAAAGGTGCCGAGCTGCAAAGTCGCAATGTGTAAGGCAGAGTTTGGATATTTTAAATCAATTTTTTTGATCATCAAACGAGTGACAATGATTTCTGTGACAGAGTGAAACCGTAGGGTATATAGTTTTCATTAGCAGAAATAATTCCGAATTCACTATGTACAAAATTAAAAGTAAAACACGAAACGGTTTGGTCAAAAAAACAAACCATATTTAGCTATCTTAAATTACAGAGATCATTACGCTAAATCCTTGTAAATGTGTATTGTATATTATGTACCTATGTTTCCCTATTATTTTCTCTACACGTGTCTGAGGAAAGCCCCATTGTCTTTCAGGGAAAATGGCCGACACAATACAATAAACGGGAACAATTGATTATATTAGACATGCCAACAATGTATTGTTATAATATGGTGCCAAAAATAATGAACGAAGAATAGCAAACATGAGTTCTCTCCTATAATAAAAGGTACGAGGTAAATATGACGGCACGTCAACTTAAACACTGTGGTCTCTATGTGGTGGTAATAAGGGCAAATTTGCAACAAATATGTATAGTCTGATGTAGGTACTATCTCTTCTCAAGACCCTGAACTTCCATACTCCTTAATTTGAGATTTCACTCAACTTTTAATGACATCCGCCCTCTCAAGGATATCAAGCGAAAATTTAATTAGCTAATTATACTTCCCGCCTATTAAGTATATTTTGAGTGGATTTATAAATAGACTTAAATATGGGACCGCTTAAGAGTCAATATAAATCTTTGAAGGCAGTCTTCGAAGAAATTAAGAATATTTTGGGGGTTTCTTGAGGACTTGTAACTTTAGTTTACTACTAGTTCATTGATCAACATTTTATTAAATTCAAGACGTAAGAGAACATGAAGCAACTTCTTTTTGATAAATTAAACATAGTACAGTCGCGTCAAAAAGTTCGCGAGTTTCGTGACACCCATAGTGGCCAAAAAGTTGATGATAACACAACCTTATTCCAATTGTTACAAAGTCGTGCTACTTTTTGGCTACTTTAGGTGTCACAAACTACTGACTTTATAGACCGCAGTAATACTTTAATCTCTGAATTTAGCAAAATTGCTGGTATAAAATCTGTGCTAACAATATCTATTTTATTTATATTATATTCATAATAATAATTCTCGATTCGTTTGTTAATTTCGTAAATACGCGTGGGAAGATTCACACGTGTAGGTACTTATCCTAATGAAATATGTCGAAATACTGAAAACGTGTTTCGCTAAATTTTATTTTAGATTTATATTGTTAAATCAACAACATGAGATAAGTAAGGTAATTACGTGTTTAATAAATACAAAGTATGATGTTATAACATAATATGAAAAATAAAGTTTTACCTTCAGACGGATTTTCAATTTCAGATTTGTTTGCAGAGTACACACTGCTTTGATGATTTTCAGCAGGAAACTACGAGTATGTCTAGTTAGGAATATTCCTAATAAAAACAAAATATGATGAAAACATTTTATAACAACTTTACACTTTCATTGAAGCAAAAGGAATCAACCAATTTTCTTTATTTTATTTTTTTCATTTTTCTTTCAGGCGAAAATTCCAGATTTTTATACCAGGTAAGTGTACTCTGTAAGCCCGCAGAATCGCTAAAATCAAGTGGCATTGGGCGGGGCACATAGCTCGAAGAGCTGATGGCCGCTGGGCAGGAAAGTTCTTGAGTGGCGACCACGAGTCGGAAGACGTAGCATGGGCAGGCCTCCCACTAGGTGGACCGACGATCTGGTGAAGGTCGCGGGAGGTGCCTGGATGCGAGCGGCGCAGGACCAGTCTTTGTGGAAATCCAGGACCAGTCTTTGTGGAAATCCAGGACCAGTCTTTGTGGAAATCCTTGGGGGAGGCTTTTGTCCAGCAGTGGACGTCTTTTGGCTGAAACGAACGAACGAACGAAGTGTACTGGCAACCCTGGCAAGTTCACTACTTAAGGACTGTTGAAGGCTGTTTGCAGATACCGTGTTAATTGCATTCTCACAGTCGTTCTTATTGCTCATCACAAACTTAGCTTCAGCTTTTGTTTCTATTTATCATTATTTGATTCTGCATAATATGCAGATTGTAAACCATTTTTAGACCAATCTTATGTAAGATTTTGAATCATCTAAATATATAAAAGGAGAAACTGACTGACTGACTGACAGATCAACGCACAGCCTAAACGGCTAAACGTAGGCACTTGAAATTTGGAAGGGACGTAGCTTAGGTACCGTAAAGGTGCACTAAGAAAGGAATTCCCGAAATTCCCACGGGAACGGGAATTAGCGGGAAAAACGGGATTTACGCGTACGAAGTCGCGGGCGGCCGCTAGTTAAAAATAAATAGTTTAATAAGTACCATCAATATGCCATAGCGCTATGTGTTATTTCTCAGTTTTGTCTCCCCGATTGTCACGTTTTCACGTAAAAACTGCCGTAAGTATTTATAAAATTTAATAATATGTTCTTTTAGATAGATGATTTAGATAACTTTCCATTCATCCATTTCCAGGATTCCATTCGGTTGCTAAGGTACTAAAACAGTATCTGGAAGTTCTGGTACAATAGCTGGGGAACNGGGGGGACATAAATTCTAATTGTCAGAAAAATACCATCATAATAACTCTATTGTCACCAGTCTGCATTCATTCCTAAGAATAATTACTCTTTGGTACTGAAATTAACTTCTGTCGTACCTAACGACTAGCGCTGACACATTTTGTTCTCTCATTCCTACCTATTGTCCCCGCCTCTACCGTTATCCAGTTCCAGACTCCTTGCATTTATTACCGCCTGGTACAATTATTTCAAAGGTTCATTGTTTTATGAATATTTCATGACATAAAGTTTGTTAAATTCTAACTTATTCTAACAGTTTGTTCTAATTTAATTATGTTATTGTTTCAGCTCTCGGAAACAATATTTTACTAACTTAAATTATTATTCCAAGTTTCGCTTATCTGACATAGTTTCTAGACTGATGATAATCAACTCAAAGTTAAGTTATTTA